AATTTTTCAAATAGAAATTTATCAAAAAAGACTGCTTTGACGGGTGTGGTGGCAAACACCTGTAATCCCAGCACTTGGAAGGCTGAGGCACGAGGGTCACTGTAAGTTCGAGACCAGCCTGGGCTACAGGCTCAAGGCCAGCCTCCACTGCATAGCAAGATCCTGTCTCAAAAAAAAAAAAAAAGATTGCTGCTTTTGTCAGGTGTGTTTGTTTGTTTGTTTGTTTTGGCGGACTTTGGCAGAACCAGGGATTGAACTCAGGACCTTGCACTTACCAGGCAAGCACTTACTCTCCTTAGCCATCTCCTTGACCCCTATGTCAGCTTCTAATTGATGACAAAATTAAGGAATTTTTGTTTCATTATTTGTCCCGTAGATACTGTGAATCAGCTCTGAGAAGAGTCTATTTTGCTCCCCACCAATATGGGGCAAACAGTAGCCTGGGTGGGCTTGTGAGGGCAGTGGGGGCCCTTCCTGGGTGGATGGGAGCGCCTCCACCTCCCATCCCCTGGCGATGATTCCTGGTCCCTGCAGCAGCTTCAGATCCTTGGGGCGCCCCCTGCTGGACAGCCTGCAGCTGCTGGCTTGGCTCCAGCCCCATCAATACAAGTATGTGTGGGTAGTGCTCCCTTGTTGCCCAACCTGGCCTCAAACTCTCAATGATCCTCCTGCTTCAGCCTCCTGAACACAGATTACAGGCGCGTGCCACCATGTCAAGCTATAGGGATATTTTTAAAAAGTGCTTTTTGCTTTTTCCTGATTTCCTCCTCCTATTTTCTGTTTCCCTTCTTGAAAATGTTCAGCCCCTTCCCTGGGTCTGGCTTATTTTTCTTTCTTCTGCCCTCCAGCCCTCTGGGCCCCGGCCGCGGGCCTATCTCTGCCTGCTCTAGCCTGCTCTTCTCCTTCTACCCCATCCTGTCCTGGGTCTCATTGTCCCACACGCTGTCCTCCGAGGCCCGGTTGCCTGTGCTCTGGCTGTCTCTGTCCCGATGGCTATCAGAGGCCTCCTGTGAGGATCACAAAGACGCCTCCAGATGAGGAGGCGGACCACTGCTGGCTGCGCTGCTGCGAGCTCTGAGCGTGGTGCTGAGGGTGGCATCTCGGGTCTGTCGCAGACAGCTATGGATGAGGGGGCTCAGGGGCTCTGCTGGAGCCAGGAGTGGGGAGCCCGTCTCAGCCATGTCAGTTTAGATTTATTGGCCTCCCCCCAGGTGCCTGGTGCTGTAGTAATGATTTCATCCCCCAAGCCCTGAAATCCCGTTTCTGTCTTTTTAGTACTGTTTAAAATATTTGTGCTACCGGGCTGGGCGAGATAGCTCAACGGACTTAGCACCTGCTTAGGCAAGCACAGGCACTGGGTCCGATGCCTGGCACCACATGCCATGCTGGCCCCGCACCCTGGCCCTCGGGCGTGCTGAGCTGGCCACTGAGACTGGGCATGGTGATGCACGCCTGTAACCCCAGCTCCAGGGAGGCTGAAAACAGGAAGATCACGCCAAGTCCGAGCTGCATAGTGAGACCATGTACCAAATATATTAAAAACAAATAAGTAAATAAAATGTTGTGCTACTGGGATGAGGCTTCACAAGCTTGCATGGCATGTTCTGTGGATTTGTTGTTGTTGTTGTCGTTGTGGTACCAGGAATTGAACTCAGGACCAGAGCTTGCCAGGCAAGCGCTTATTCAACTGAGCTATCTTCTCGGCCCGTTCTGTGGAGTTTTACCTGCATGCTGTAAAAGTAAAGCCAGATGACTTCCATACTGGTAGTGGGAGAATCCCTCATTTCTTTCAGCATGCTGAGCTTTCTGCAGTCCCTCTTTTCTCTGTGTGTGTGTGTGTGTGTGTGTGTGTGTGTGTGTGTGTGTGTCTGGGACTGCGGAAGAGAGAACCGGTTGTGTTCGCGGGGTGTCTTATAGGCACGGGGGTGGCTGGGTGGGGTGAGGCTCAGAATGGGAAGGGACAGACATAAAGAAGGAAGGAGATTGCTGGATGTGGGGCTCCTGACCTGTGATCCCAGCACTTTGGGTGGCTGAGGCAAAAAGACCCCCAAGTTTGAGCATAGTCTGGAAAACTTAACTAACTTTGCAAGAATCTATCTCAAAAAAAAAAAAAAAAAAATTAAAAGAGCTGGGGTGTAACTCAGTGCAAATGCCCTGCATCCAATCCCCAGTGGCTAGATAAATAAGAGGGAGACGGTGTCCACAGGAGCTGCCAGGGTCTTATTATGTAGTTCAGGCTGGCCTTGAATTTGCTGCAGTCCCCCTGCCTGTGCTGGGATGACAGGTGTTTGCCACCGTTCCCAGTTGTGCACATCAGTGAGTTTGAGATGACCAGTCTGGGCTACGCAGCGAGTTCAAGGCCAGCCTGCTCTACATAGCGAGACTCTGCCTTAAAAAAAAAAAAAAAAAAAAAAAAAAAAAAAAAAGACAGTGTGTGGTGTGTGATCACAGGTACATCCTTCCTGTGTCCAGTTCTGCTCCTGCCCTAGGTCACCAGATGTCCTCCTCAGAGGCCGGAGGTCTCTCCGACATGGCGAGAACAGAATGTATCTAGAACCCTGTCTTTATGGAGCCTGAGGGCTAGAAAACGGCTGCCAGGGGATGAATGAAGTGGTGGAGCATTTGTAGCAGCGGAGGAAGGGGGCTGTCAAGGGTTGCGGTCCGAGAGGCACAGCCTTGCTATGCAAGACCTGGAGGGGTCGGGAAAGAGCCAAGCAGGCACCCAGGAAAGACTGTGGTGTCCCAAATGTGGAAAGACAAGGGCAGGGCAGGAGGGCAGGAGCCGAAAGGCGAGAAGAGGAGGCCCCCGAGGAGATCTCCGGGGGACCTGGGTGTGGTCATCGGAGGGGGACACGGAGACTGACTTTCAGCAGGGCATGGCCGCACCCATCTGTGCTTCTAGCCACCCAGGAGGATGAGGCAGGGGAATCGCAAGTTTGAGACCACACTGGGCAGTAGTGAGACCTTGGAGCGATTTTATTAAAAAGGTTTAGAGGGGCCAGGGAGATGGCTCAGTAGGATAAGTGCTTGACTGGCAAACGCAAGGATCTGAGTTCAATCCCCGGTTATGCCAGAAAAAAAAAAAAAAAAAGATTTGGAGACCCTGTGGTTGGAGTTTTGTGAGGTAGGGGGTAGGGAGAGGGGGAGGCAGAGGCCCCAGATGACAGCAGGGGACCCAAAGCTGTCTCCCGTTGACAGCACCAGTCCCAGGGGCTGGTGGAAGGAGGCAGGCAAAGGAAGCGGCTGTGGGAGCAGCGGGGGGTTGAGAAAGAAGCTCAAGGGTGCGGGCAGGGAGACTCCAGCTGGAGGGAGAGGGGTGAAGCTGCGCTGCCCTACAGGGGCGACATTGTGTGACCCAGTGCAGGAGCAGGCCTGAATGAGCCTGTGAGCACACATACCACACTCATGTCTCCTTGGTTTTGTTTTTTGTCTTTTGGAGCCAGGGTCTCCTTATGCAGTTGAGGCTGGCCTTGAGCTCACTTTGTAGCCCAGGCTGCTCTCAACTCCCAAGGATCCTTTTGCCATAGCCTCTGGCCTCATCCTCCCGAGTGCTGGGATTGCAGGCCTGTGCCACCACACCTGACTTTTTTGTTAGTGTCTGAGACAAAAGTCTTGCTCTCTAACCCAGGCTGGCCAGGAACATGGTCATTTTCCTGCCTCAGCCTCCCCGTGTGGAGCTGACAGGCATGTCCCACCTGGCCCTGTTTGTCCTTTTGTTGTCTTCTTTCTGTTGTTTCCTTCAGACCGAAAACAGGAGTTTGTGCAACCCCTACATTGGAAGCATTTATATATTTTTTTTTTTCAGTCTCCACAGGCATTTCTGTGCATAACATGAAAACCGATAGTTGAATTAAGATTTAGAATTATGTATGGATTAAAATGTTTGAATGCTTGTGATTATAAATAATCAGTCATCTACTAAATGAGCCCAGATTTCTTTTCTGCCATTTTGGTTCCCTTGTTACCCTTGTGCTTCTTTCTTCTCCTGCCCCTATGAACCCCAAACCCTGAGAAAAAGTCCAAGTTTACACTGGTAAGTTAGGCAGCCAGGACAGGGAGGTGGGAAGAGATGGGGTCATTTTAAAATTAAAGAACGGGGCCAAGAATGGGTTCCAGGCTGAGCAACGGGGAGGAAGGACCTGCCACAGAGCGAGGGGTTGCATGTGACTGGCTGGGAAGTGGTCTGGTTAAGAACTGGGAAGTGTGGGCAGGGGAGATGGCTCAGTAGAATAAGCACTTGCCTGGCAAGCACAAGGGCCTGAGTTGCCCAAGTTCAATCCCCCATTCCGCCAAAAAAAAAAAAAAAGAATTAGAAAGGGGAGCTGGGTGTGGTACCAAACACCTGTACTCCCAGCTTTTGGGAGGCTGAAGCAGGAGGGTCACCTGAGTTTGAGGCCAGCCTGGACTACTTAATGAGCTCAAGGTCAGCCTGAACTACACAGTGAGACCCTGTCTTCAAAGAAAGAAGATGTAGCTCAGGGGTAGAGTGCTTGCCTAGCATGCACCAGGCCCTGGGTGCAGCCCCCAGCAGTAGTAGAGGGTGGGCTTCCGAAGGATGGAACACCTGACTCCTGGGTCCTTTGAAATTCCTGGGTTCACTTGGGTGGGATAGGACCAGCACGCCCTGAAGGCTCCATCCCAGAATAAGCAACTGGGAAAGGTGGGGACCCAGAGCTCATGCCTAGGGAAAGTTCCTGGCGTCGGGGCCAGATGCAGGTTCCTGGAGAAGGGCCGCTTCATCCTGGGACTGCAGGCCTAGTTTTGGGGGTGGCAGTGTACAAACAGGGACCTCCAAGCCGTGGTCCTGGGCTTGCAGGAAGCTGGGGAGGATGAGGTGGAGTGGGGGGAAAGCAGCTAGGTCCCTGCAGGCAGATCCTGGCTCTTGCAGGATACTCTGTGCTTGCTAACACCTTTCTCCCCTTATGTCTTCTCTCCCCTCTTCCTGGCCCCCTCGCGCCCCCCCGCCCCTGCCGCTGTCGCTTGGCTTTTCACCCCTGCAGCAGAGGTGAAGGTGTACAGCTCTGACGAGGAGAAGCTGGAGACCCCCGCGGGTGACGCAGCTGGCAGTGAGCAGGAGGAAGAGGGCTCGGGCGGCGACAGCGAGGATGATGGGTTCATGGACAGTTCTGCAGGGGCCCCGGGGGCCCTTCTGGGAGCCAAACCCAAGCTCAAGGGCAGCTTGGGGACTGGAGCTGAGGAGGGGGCGCCTGTGGCCACGGGGGTGGCGGCGCCCGGGGGGAAGAGCCGGAGGCGCCGCACGGCCTTCACCAGCGAGCAGCTCCTGGAGCTGGAGAAAGAGTTCCACTGCAAGAAGTACCTGAGCCTGACCGAGCGCTCGCAGATCGCCCACGCCCTCAAGCTCAGCGAGGTGCAGGTCAAGATCTGGTTCCAGAACCGCCGGGCCAAGTGGAAGCGCATCAAGGCTGGCAATGTGAGCAGCCGCTCCGGGGAGCCTGTGAGGAACCCCAAGATCGTCGTGCCCATACCTGTCCATGTCAACCGCTTCGCTGTGCGCAGCCAGCACCAACAGATGGAGCAGGGGGCCCGGCCCTGATGCTGGGACTGCAGCGTGAGGATCGGTCCCAACTCACTGGGTCAGGACCAAAGGGCCCAGGGAGGCCGGCAGTGCCCCTACCCAGCTGGGCTGGAGAGTGTGCTTGGTCCCAGTCCAGCCCAGAGACTCCAGGACTGGGCTTTGGGTGCAGGGGCGCAGGCAGGTCCTGAGGGCCCAGGAGCTCTGGGGACCATGGCAGACTTCAGGGTGGGGTGCGGTGGGGTCACAGAGCACCTGGGGCCTGTAGGCCGCTGACTGATGCCCCAGCTTCTGGTGAGGGCCCAGGGCACTCTTGCCAGGCGGAGCGCAGCTCCTTATTTATTTTGTGTAAAATGTGTATATATGGAGCCGTTGGTCTCTGTTGGTCTGTCTGCAACCCTCAGGGGGATTGAGGAAGGTGTTTCCTCTCCGTCCCCAACCATAGCGGATTCCATCCCCTGGCTCTGGTGTGGCACCTGCAGACCTGTATGGAGCAAGGACATGCAGTCTATCTGTAGAAGTCATTCAGTACCTGTGTCCCCACACTCTGACCTGGCCGCTGGCCCTGTCCCCAGTAAGCAACCTCGCTTCTGTGCTGGTTCTGCCTTCCCTTGGGGGCCACTGGCCAGCTCCAGGGGGAGACTCACTCCTGTCTGTATGAAAGGGAACTTGGCTTGGTGCCTGATTCAGCTGTGGTTTTGTAACTTGTCCTGCCTGTTGCTAGGACAGGATTGGGGCTCCCCCAGACCTCCAGTGAGCGCTTTAAAAACAAGCTTCCATCCTCCCAGCACAGACTGGCACTCTCTCCCCCGATACACCGTCTTGGGAGCTCAGCTACCACAGCATCTTGTGTTCCAGGACAAGATGAGTTCAGAGGCCATGGCCCATGACCCTGGAAGGGTGGGCGTGACAGGGACGACAGGAGCAAGCCAAGAGCTTTGGGATTAGGACTGCTGGCATCTTCAGCATCTGTGTTGGTGGACAAAGCTGACCTCTGGCTCTGAGAATATAGCTCCACAGACACAGCTGGTGGGACTGACAGAAACCCACCGCAGTTGGCATCATGGGGCGGCAGCAGCAGTGCCTCTCAGGAGGGAACAGTAAGTACTCAGTAGGGAAGAGAGTGGGGAAAGTGGCCACTGAGAAAATAAGCAGGCTGTGGAGGAGCCAGGGAAACCCAGGAAGCCAGGCACTGGGTCGGGGCAGTGCCTCACCACCGCAAAGGACAACTGGCTATCCCCAGCCCCCAACGTGAAACTAGCGAGCCTCGTCCACTCAAGTAGGCAGTGACACTGAGGCGCTCTCTCTCTGGCCTTTCCTCCTCCCAGTTAGTGTTGGCAGCAGGTTATAGCAGCCTGTAGCTGACAGGCGACAGTAACGACAGAGCCTTCCAGCAGACACAGACACAGGTTCAGGGTAGGTGGCCTCTGGCCCTCTGCTGCATTTCAGCAGGGCCTGGGAATTCAGCTGCCCTGGCCCCAGCCTCGCCCTGCACAAGGCACCTCCAGCGTCAGGTGCCTTTTAGATGAGCCAGTTGGAGGCTGACAATGACAAGAGCTATTATCCCTTCAGCAGGGCTGGACCAGGGGTTCTGCGGTTCACATCCCCCGTGCAGCTGCCTAACATTTGTTGGGCCCACAGGAGTCAGCAGCCCATGCAGCTGGGCCTTAGGAGTCCAAGGCAACCACTGCTGGCATTTTCTGAGTCTGGGAGCCGAGTCCTGCACACCTGTGCCTATCTGTGCTCTTAAAAAAGGAGACATGGACAAAGAAATAAAATCGCTTTGCTCTCCGAAGTGTTCCTTGGTTATTTACCTGTGTAAGCGGGCCCCACGCAGAGTACCACCTACCACACCTGCCACATAGCGGAGGGGTTTGGGAAAGCATGGAGTACCCGTGATACCGTGGAGTACCTCACCCGTGGCCTCAAGGGTGAGGCGGACAAACAGCCAGGACCTGACCTTGCCAAGGTCTCCTGTGAATAACTACAGGGGCAATGAGGAACGTGGGGCTCTGCGCTCCTCTGGGGTGCTCTCCTGCCACCAGCACCCCTGCTCACATGCACAGCCTGGGCTTGCATCTGCCACCGTGTCTCGTGGTATCCTCCGATTGCTCTGCTGAGCTGCAAGCCTCACCCTGCCCCGCATGCCCAGTGTGCGGGCCCTGCCAGACGAGTGCACTTCGCCAGCAGTGTGACAGCAGGCTCCCAGGGCGGTCCCTAATGACAGCAGGGAGCTCTGCAGAGGTGGGAAGCATGCCTGAGGGGCAGGACCCAGCAGGGCTCAGAGGATACTGTCTTCCACCAGGTTCTCGGTGCTGTGCTGCTCAAAAAATCCCGCCCTTGCAAGGACAGCTACAGGAGACCATGAAAAGCTGGGTGTGGTGGTGGTGCCTGCCCATAATCCCAGCACCCAGCAGGCTGAGGCAGGCGGATCACGGCAAGTTGGCCTGCTTGGGCTACCTAGTCAGGGGAGAGAGGGAGAGAGGGAGAGAGGAGAGAGAGAGACACTAAAATGAGGGGGGCAGAAGATCCCTGGGGACCCTGGCTCAGGGAGAGACGAGATCTGGGAGACATGGGAGACACTGAAGAGAAGGCAGACGAGGAGTATCCCTGGAAGGGTGCAGGCGGTCCGAGATGAGGCCACACACAGTCTGCTTTATTGGCTCATCATACACGCACATCAAGTATGTACACAAACATAAATACTGCAATGTACAAATTTTACATGGGAGCCCTCCTGGCCCCTGGCCTCTCACCCCGCCTGCCATCCTGTACCTGGCCCTTCCCCAGCACAGAGGGAAGGCTTGCAGGCCAGCACAAGGGGGCGGGGGTCTGGAGGAGGGAGAGGTCCTGCCCCCCTCTCCTCACGGGCACCTCAAGGGTCCTGTCCCTCCTCAAGGGCACCGAAGTGCAGAGGGCTGGCTGCCGCTCTCCCGCCTGCAGCGGCCTGACTTCTGGCAGCCCTCTCTCTCCTCAGCTGTCTCTGACTTCCTGCCCTCTGTCTCTGTGCCTCTGTTTCCCCCAGCACCTGTGGGGAGGTCCTAGGCCACGGAGTCCCTCGAACCTGTCCGCTCTCTTCCTGGGCCTCATAGGAGGCTGGGGCTGCGGTGCAGCTCGGCGGAGGCGCCAGGGCCACTGGGGGGCTCCCTGCTGGGCGTGGGTGCCAGGCTGCAGCCCTCCCCAGGGCAGCCATGCTGCAGCAAGATGTCCGCGCACTCCTGGCTGCCAGCACGGCGCGCATAGGCTAGGGGTGTCAGGCCCCGTGCGTCCCGGCTCCTGACGTCCACGCCATACTGTGGGAGAGAGCGCGTGGGCACGGTTGGCAGGGCATGGACTGCAAGGGGCCGGGTCTGGGACAGCAGGGTGGGCACGGGCACTGGACTCACCCAGATGAGCAGCTGTGTGAAGACCACGTTGGCCATGGCGCTGGAGAGATGCAGCGCTGTCCGCCCGTCGCCGTCCCCGTAGGTCTCATTCACCTCCTCCTTGGACCCATGGGCCAGCAGCATCACCAGCAGCCGCAGGTCGTCCTCCACCACGGCCCGGAGCAGCTGCTGCCCCAGCGGCACGTCTGAGCTGGGCAGCGGGGCCAGGAAGAGCTTCTGCTCGTACTTAGCGCGGATCCAGCGCTCCTTCTCCTCTCTGCAAGCACAGGTGGGTGGGGAGTGAGCCCAGGGAGCCACCGGGGGCCAGGGGTACGTGGGGAGAGGACAGCCAGCAGGAAGATGCAGGAGACTGTGCAGAGGAGAGGCCCAAGAGACCACGGGCATGCAGAAGTGCTGCAGGAACATAAAGAGCGTGGAAAAAAAAAGCAGGGACACGGAGAGGAAAGGAGGCCTTCAGGGGCCAGGGGACGTGCGGGGCACAGGGGCAGGAAGACTCCAGGTGGCTCCGGCGGTGGCGGTGGGTTATCTGGCTGTCTGAACTCTCTCCAACTGGCAGTGCAGGGACAAAGCAGGTGGGGGCCTGGGCGGGGGCCCACATTGCTCCTATCTGCCACCCATTCTCCCCATCTAGCAGTGCAGGCCTGGGTCTTGCACAGCGTGGTGATAGGGGCCCTGCGCATGCGCCTGGCAGTGGCCCCCTGACCTGCTGATAACGGCTCAGAAAAGGCCTGTTGTTGTGTGGCGCCTGAGTGACAGGCACCAAAGGGGGAGGGACACCCCAGGGACCAACTGCCAGGCAAAGCAACGGATACTTTTAACCCTTCTAACACTGTCCCAGCTGTCCCCTCCCTCCCAGCAGCTCACCTGCAGGCCTCAGGGCCCGGCTTTATGTAGCCGTCCACAGCCCCCTCCCAGACACTGTTGGCCAGGGTGTTGCCAATGGCGGTCATCACGGCCAGCAGCTCGGGAGGCCAATCGTCCAGGTCCAGGGAGCGGACGCGGGACAGGTGAGCCCCCAGGTGGCGGTGGATTCCTGAGCACTCGATACACATCAGGGCACCCAGGTTCAGGCTGGCCCAGTCGGGATCTAGGCAAGGAAAGGAAGGAGGACGGGGCAGGTGGGCAGCCGGGATGGGGACAACCGGGGAGGCCTCCTCCCTGCCCCCACGCATGCAGTGCCCTCTGTGGGCCCAGGTTCCAGAGCTCTCTGTGCACCTGGCACTCACTGGGGGCATCGCAGTCGATACAGAAGCTGTTGCCACGCACGGTGCGGACGGCCTGCACGGCCAGGGCTGCATTCTGGTTCCCCAGGCGCGTCTGCCACACAGTGGGGACAAGGGGTCAGTCACAAGCCCCTCTGCCTCCCACCAGCAGGTGCCCCCGACAGGCCCGGCTACCCCCTGCCAACCTTGTCCTTGGCGCTGCGGCAGCCCTGCAAGCTGGCAAGGATCTGAGCCTGCACGCTCTGCACCCACAGCTCCCGCTCCTCCGCTGTCGAGGCCTCGAAGTGCCACGTCTGCCCGGTGAGGGACACCACCACAAACTCGAAGGACTCTTCCGCCTCTGTGGGAGGGGGGTGGGTTGGCACTGCGGGCACCCTCGCCCAGGACACACGCCACAACCTTGTTCCCACCTGGGCCCCAGTCCTGGACCACTTGTAAGCAGGGAGGTGGTGACCAGCATGAGCCCTTGAACCTCCATTCCTAACCACCTGTGGAGCCCAGGGGAATGGGGGACACGAGCTCTTGGTTTCCCTGGCACTGGCTGTCAAGCAGGGTCCAGACCCCGGCATCGGAGCCTCTAGAAGGAGGAGCTGCATGTCTGGCCAAAGATACATCGGTGCTGGAAGGCAGTGCCGGGAGAGGGAGGCGGGTGTGGGTACATCCGTACATGTCAGCTGCAGCCGCCTCATTTTGCAGCTCATTAAACCCAATATTCCTGACGGCGTCAGCGTGGGGCTCCTGGGAGCCAGGCCCCTCCTCCACTGCCCTGGCATAGCAGGCAGGAAGGGCAAGTGGGTGGGGGTGAGGAGATGTTTGCTTCAGGAACCAGGACCCGAGAGCCAACGGGGACCCTCGGACATCTGTACTGACAAGCACAGGGGCTGAGTGGTGACCCCAAGCACTGCAACAAAGCTCTTCCAAGCTCTGCTCCTACAGGCTTTCAGAGAGTGACATGAATTATAGTGCCAGAGGTCACTGCCCCAGGGGTGGACCACCGCTCACAGGCAGCTGGAAAGTACCCAGGCACCTTCAGGGCGGTCCTGGGTGAGCCACACGTTCTGCCAGACCACCTCTGCTTGAGAATCCTCACTGCACCTCTGCCTGTAGCTTCTCACCTCTTTGACAGTGACAGCCCTGAAGTCTTCCTGGGCCTGGCTCCTTGCTGCCTCAGGACCCTGAACGGAACTGCCTCCTCGCATGCACACAGCAGGCACTACTGCCCTCCCAAATGCCAGGCTCCTGCCTCGCCCTAGCTCCCCCCAGCCTCTGAACCACAAGATCCCTGCATCACCCACAGGCCCTGGTTTCCTCGACCACAGCAGACACCGAGGCATGAACGCATTACAGGGTGCTTGGAAAAGCTGATCACTGCTGACCCTCCCGTCACGGCAGGAAGGAGAGATGAATCCACCGCTTACGCTGTGGAGAGGGTGGGTCTGAGGAGCACGGAGCCAGCACTGTCATGAGCGTGACTGAGGCAGATCCCGAGGGGCTGGCGAAGGACCTGGAGCGCCTGCACCCAGCCAGCAGAGACGATACTCAACTGACCCACACACATGTGAGCACCGCTATGTCCCCAGCACTCACAAACTCTTGGGAGACACAAGAGACAGCAGGACACAGGGCCTGCTAGCTGGTGTTGGAGGGGCTATGACAGCCACCACCGCACCCTACTCGGAGAAAAACACACTCTCACAGCTGTACAGAAAACGAGCAGATCTTGTCCAAGGTACTGGGTCTAAATTCCAAGACAGGCTTGTGTGGTTGAGTTTAACAGAACGATGCCTAGAAGAGCTTCGTCTACCTCATCAGGAAGCAGGGTGCTGCCACTTTGAGGGTACTGTGCCCAGGCCCCGCTGCCCACCTCCTGTGCCCGCCTGCCCACTGGGCCCCCCTAACCTTCGGCAGCACTGCTGGGGCCGTCTGGTCGGGGGTTCCCGGCGCTCTTTTTCCAACGGTGCTTCTTCCGGTTGGAGTGGGGAGATGGGGGAGGCTCCAGCTTGGGGCTGGAGCTGAGCTCGTCAGCCGTGCCACCCGCTGGGGAGGGCAGAGTGGAGAGGTGTGGGAAGGGGCAGGCGAGGCGGCACAGGGCAGGGGAGGAACAGGTCCGCTCGTGGTGGCTGGGCTGCCCTGGAGGGGTCAGGTTGGGTCCCAGACCTCCCAGCCCCAAGCACCGGTCTGGGAGGAGCAGGCAACGGGTCCCTAGCAGTCTCTCAGGGTGGAAGGTGGCCCAGGCAGCTCTCGGGGAGCCCAAGCCCCAGCGGCTCAGCACCAAATTTATCCTCAATCACACTCCCCGCTCCTCACAATTAATAGCAGAATTAGAAACAATCAGGGAGCTGCCTAATTACTGTCAATTAGAGCGCGCTAATCAAGCTCCGGCTCCCACACCCCGCCCGGCGCTCACCACTAAATGTCAAACTTCATTAGAGGCAGACATGCTCCCTCCCTCCCTGCCTGCCTCCTTCAGACTCAACAGAGAGGCTCATGGAGGGCAGGGCAGGCCTGGGACCCCATGGGAGGACCCTGCTCCTTGTTCCCTCCCCCAGGCTGGGACAGGTCAGACAGGGTGGGACACACACAGGTGCTGGCAGCCCTCTGGGGGTGGCTCATCCCCTAGGAGGGGGCAAGGCTGTCTCTATCTGGGCTGCTGCCCACTTCCTGGTTCACTAGGGTCGGGTGACAGGAGAGTCACCTCCCAGTGTCCGCACCTTCCCTGACCACTAGGGAATGAGGCAGGGGAAAGTGCTGTCCCCAGTCCCTTTCAGCCTTAAGACTGGCCACAGGGCCTGTGGCCAAACTCAGGCTAGGGGTGGGGGCCAGGGGAAAAGAGAAACTAAGGAGGAAATTTTGGAAAAGACAAGAGCCCAGCAAAGCCGGAGACGGTGAAAGAGGCAGGCGGCTGCTGACCCTCCTTAGATAGGGCCAAGCTCCCTGTAGGAAGCAGGTTGGGGACAAGGGTTTTGTGGGGACCTCAGTCTAAGGTGGATGGGCTGCCTCTGTAGCATGAAGCCCCAGCCTCCGACCTCCCAACTCCGCCACCGCAGCATCCCTGTTCCCTGCCGAGAGGCTGATGAGCCAGCAGCGCAGGGGGCTGATGGGGATGCAAGCGCCACCGGCGCTGCCTGGGGACCAGGGAGGAGGAGCCGCAGAGGGCGGGCCTCAGCACACAGGCCCCAGCCCTGTGGGGGACAGGCCCGAAGCCACGCCTGGTGGCCACAGGAGGGACAGAGGTGGCAGTGGGAGAGCCCCCACTCACCGGGGTGCTGCGTGCTCCACTGGTCGGCGCTGGAGACAGAGCAAGAGCGCTGGTGCGGCCCCTCAGGGCTGGGGCCTGCCCAGGCCGGGTTGCCCAGGGTGTGTTCGGAGTGCAGGGACGCGCTGCTGGCCGAGTGGGGGGCACCTGGCGGGGTGGTGAGGGGAAGATCAGGCCCGGGAGGAGCGTCCGGTGGGGGGCTGTCCAAAAATCTCTCCTGTGTGGGCATGGTGATGTGTGCCTATAATCCCAGCTCTTGGGAGGCTGAGGCAGGAGTCCCCCATACTGTCCTAAGAACAGAGCTGCTCCACAAGGGTCACCCAAACATAAGCAGGGTCTGGGGTTCACCCAGCAGCGGGCCAGAGTCCTTGAACTCTTCCAAGCCTCCAGAAGCAGGCTTGCCTAGACCTTCCTACCCTCTTCTCCCCTGTGAACACAGAGGGGCATAGACCTGTCCCCGCACTGACACAGGGAACTGGCAGGGATGCAGGGCACTTGCAGGCGTCTCTGCATTTGCGTCTCCCGGGCCTCTATGACCTGTTCTGCCATGACCTGTTTGCCTTCGTTCCTGGCTCAGGCCCGGCACCCTACATTCTGGTCCACATATGTCATTTGGTCTGCCTCAGCTTTGCTGCCATTCTGACAAGAAATAAGTGTATCAAATTCAAGTAATTATGTCTAATTAGTATTAGTAATTATCCTGTTGGGCTGGAGAAAATTAATCTTTCGTTTCCCATCAGGGAAGGATGGCGGAGCCAAGGGGAGCCAAAGGCTGCTCTGGGAGTGCCTAGGCTGGGCAGGCTGTGTCCTGCGGCACCACGCTGGCTGCCCCTACTGCAGCAGCCTGGCATGGCCAGGGGCCTCCCAGGCCGCAACACTTCAAGGGCTGAGTGCGACAGTGTGCCCAGGCTTCTCTCCCTTCCTCACTACCCCCGAGATAAAGTGTGGGGATAGAACCCAGAAGGAAGTGGCCACACAGTCTGGGAACAGGTGGGCCAACCCCAAGTTCAAATTGTGCAAAAGGTGTCGAGGGGCTCGCTGGGTGCAGGGTTAGCAGGAAAGCAGCCGGGATCTGGCCAGGGGGACTTGCGGGGAGTCCTGCGAGGCCAAGCAGCGGGTGGGGACAGCAGGACTGATGCCCCAAATGCTCAGGGGAAAACACCGCCGTAAGGCCGAGGCCCAGTTTCCATCTCTCTTGTTTCTGTGCTAACACCCAAAACAGGAGGGGACGGACACCAAGCAGGTGCCTGGCAACATGGTGTGCTGCTGGCTTACGGATCCCGCTCAGGATCGGGCGCCCGGCTCCAGCTGCACAGATCCTCCCCAGCCCCTCCTCGGGCCCCCAGGCGGTGCCCCTCTCTCCTACCCTCGACAGGTTCTGCATGTCCCCTCCCAGGTTCTGAACGGCACCCCCCATCCTGGGCCCCAACCCAAGACATCACAGGTCCAACTTCCCTTCCAGGCCCCCCAACCCAAAACCCTGAGGGAGGGAAGTACGTTCCCTTTTCTTTGTTAATTCTCCCCTCATTACGCCTGCAATCCCACAATCAGTGTGCACTGTAATTGTCGAATTTGATGCTAATGATTAATGAATTAAACATGGAGCCATCAATTAGTCCTCCGAGGATAATTCTGCATAAAGCAGCGGATAATGTAATTACAGTAACAAAGATAATGAGATGTTAACATCGCCCGGTGAGCGAGAGACATGTGTGAGTGTGCATCAGGGTCGGTGGCAGCGCGTGGCAGTGGGAGCCGGGCCACGGAAGTGCTGGCCACGTGTACCTGCGTGGGTGCTGGGATCGCAGCAGCCAGGGCACCCGCCCCGTGCCAGGCTGGCTGCCCAGGTGAAGGGCACAGGGCCCAGAACAGCACACAACAGCACCGTCTCGCTTCACACCCTCTTTGAGGAAACAGCCCAGCTATTCGCAATCAAGGAAAGGAGCCCCCCTTCTGGAGTTTGCTATTTGCCCCTCTGCTGTTGGCATGAGAAACTCCGTACCCACCAGCCCGGCTCCGGAGAGACCTCCACAGGGCTCTACCAGGACTCTGGCCCCCAGGACACAATGCCCTGCTGCTGTACCACCTTCTCCAACCTCCTTCCTCCCCCAGAGCTCTCCTTGAGTCCAAGGCCTCCCTTATTCTGAGCTCGGCAGCGGCGGCACTTAGAAGAAGGACCAGAACTTTTTGTCAGACAGGCCTGGGTTGAAACCCTGGCAAGCTCACTTCCTGCGGGATTTTATGGTCAAGTTACCGAGCCTCTGCGAGCCTTTTCTTCTCCATGCAAACAGGGACAAGAACCTTGACTTCATGCCCCTGGTGCAGCCCAGGTCCTGCCTGGCTGCTGCCTGTGCCTACAGCCCAGCCAGCAATGGCCACCTGGGAGCAGGCTGATCATACCAGGGAGCCACCCCACCAAAAGGGCCACGCTTGGGGGCCGGGCCCCTCCTCCTCTCAACAGACTTTTGCAGTGCCAGCTCCACCAGCATTTCAGGAGGCTCAGTATTCCTGGCCTCTGCCCACTCTGTCCTTTTTCTCTAGTACTCTCCTGTCACCGTGACAGGCACAAGACCCAGCATCCCTACATGCCCCTAGGGAAGGCGATACATTCCAGCTAAGAAGCTCCTCCGCTCAGAGCCAACCAGCAGGGCAGGCTCTGTTCTAAGCAGAAATTTCTGGGCCCAAGGAAAATGAGGTTCCACAGTCAGGGACAATATGGGGGACACCGAACTCTGAAGAAGGGGCCACAGAATGCACCGTGGGAAGGACAGTGCCAGGAGGGCAAGGGCCTAGGAGAAGCCCAGGGAGGAGGAGGAAGAAGCCTGGGAATGGACCTTTCACTGAGCCACATGATCACGCAAAGAGCAAGGACACAGCAGGGGTGGGGGTACCTGCCACCACCAGTCCCCAGCCTGAAACATTTCGGCAGCACATCTAGCCCTTTTTAGAATCCCTGTGCTGGGACCACACCTCTTACTACAGACCTGAGGAGGCTGTCCCCATGGTCCCAAGGCTTCGCCCCCCGCCCTGTCCTACCCAGCCACCTAACGCTGTCCTTTCTCAGCTCCAGCGCAGACAGCCTTCAGACCCCTGGCCCCACTCCCCAGAACCACACAGACAGCCAAGGAAAATGAGGTTCCACAGTCAGGGACAATATGGGGGACACTGAAGTCTGGAGAAGAAGGGGCCACAGAATGCACCGTGGGAAGGACAGTGCCAGGAGGGCAAGGGCCTAGGAGAAGCCCAGGGAGGAGCGGGAAGGAGCCTGGGAATGGACCTCCAGCAGCTGCACTTGATCCCCACCCGAGGCTGATGTCACCCTGGACAACAGCACTGTCCCCGACACGGCCACTGCCCTCCTCACCTGGGCCCCCACCCAGCTGCGTGTTGCTCCGTTCCATGGGCAGCCCATTGGCTCTCGGGCTGGTGCCCGGGGCTGTGGATGGGGTGGCTCGAGGCAGACGCTTCCCGGGCACCTTCACCGTCGTCCGCAGCAGGTCAATCTCCTTGCCGTGGATGTTCTGCATGTAATCCTGAAGGCAGAGGAAAAGACATAGAGATGTGTTAGGGAGGACACCCCCACCCCTGCACTGTGCTGTATCTCCCAGCAGTGCTCCCTGGACTCGGGGAGCAGAGCTGCAGGACCCCATAGCTCTCAGAAATCACAAAGTCTAGAACACAGTCAGATCTCCACCCCTCCAGGGCTCTAAGGACCGGAGGGTTGGAGTCCTTAGGCGGCTGTTCACACAGGATGCCGAGCACTGGATGGAGATGAGGCTCAGGGGCAGAGCGTCTCTGTGGCTGAGGATGTTCTACAGTCAGGGACAATATGGGGGACATATATTGTCTGAGGAGGGCACTGCCAATCTCAGACCCCCATGACAACTGCTTGGCTCCTACCCCAACCTGGGCATCAGGAACATTTAATGCCTGCATGAGTCTCCAACCCTTAGGCTGGGGCTGGTCATGAACAGTTTAAAAGGCAGCCTTTGGTTTTTTGGTGGACTGGGGAGGGTGGCAACAGGTCCTCGCATCTGCCCACTCCCAGCTTGCCTATCTGGGAGTTGCCAGCATCAGCGTACCACCTGCTGCTCATGTCCTAGGTTTTACTGCACCACAGCGGTGTATTTTATACAAGTCCATCTCTTCTACACCGCGCCGAAGATCTTCCCAACCACCACGGGGATTTTTTTATTTTCGTTTCTTAGGAGCAGTGAGAGTTGAACCCAGGGAGCACAGGCCCACACCCTCAGCACTTTCAGTTACTCTTTAACTCTGAGACTGTCACACTAAGTCGCTCAGGCTGGCATGGAACTGCAGTCTTCTTACCTCGGCCTCCCAAACTGCTGGGATTACAGGTCTGCATCACCCCTGTCACCCTTTCAGTCCCAAGGAAACGGGGGCCACGTCCAGGAGCTGCGTTCAAGGGCCCATGGCGCTCCCTGATGTAGCTGTCTGTGCCCTTGGGCCGCCACCCAAGGCAGGGCTAGCCTCGGGCACACTGGTTCAGAACCACAAACACTATCCTGAGCAGTCAAGGAGGGGTCTGCCACCTGAGGCAGGATCCTTGGCCACCTCTCGGCCCACCCGCTGCTGGGCTCTGCCAGAACTCTTGCCTTGGCGGCTAGGCAGCAATGCCCCAGAGGTGCCTGTCCAACCTTCCTCCTGCCACTGCATGCCAGCCCCTGCCCCTGTGGTACTCAGCTTTACGACGTCAGGCTCTCACGCCTCTCCCCACTCATCCCAAGGGCTCAGCTCCCTCACACCCCTGTTCCTGGGCCCTGCGCATCCTGAGCCCAAGTCTCTGCATACTCATGTCTGAGCCCTGCCGCTCCCCTTCCCACCCCTGCGCACAATTACGTCTTGGATCGGCTGCTCCTGACAACTGTCAACAGCTGGCAGGGCCAAAGGTCCAGCTGTGATTCCTCTCCTGGGGGAGCGTCTGCGCCGCCCCAGTTCACAAGGAGGTCACAGCAGTGGCAACAGTTTTCAGGCCCTGGGATGCCTGGGCGGAGCTGTAGCGGAAGCTGACCCTAGTCCAAAAACCAGAGCCACGCAGAGGAACGCAGGGCCACCGAGCCCAGCCGCAGCGCAGGCCTGCCCGAGCCCAGCACGGTGGGCTCTGCTCAAGCCGCCGCATGCTGGATCCTGGGCCTCCGGGACAGTGCAGCCACAACGGAGTGGAGCCGGAGGAGCAGCGGCAGGGACAAGGACCTCAGGCACAGAGCAACAGTGTTTCCCTCAGTCAGCAGAACGGGGAGCGTGGCGGCGGCAGTGGCAGCGGCTGCTCAGGAGAGCGGTCACCACGGCTGCCTTTATTACCCACCATCAAACAGCAATTTCTTCCCCAGCCTCCTCGCTAATTACCCAGCCAGCGTTCTCATCTCGTTTTATTACTGGAATTAACAACGAGTTCAGAGCGTGGAAAGCTATTAAGATGTGTGATTAAGCCACATTCAATTAGTTTCTACAAACAATTTAATTGATGTTGCAGATAGAATTAACAGAAGGTGATTGTGTGAATGGCTCCGCTGGCTGCAAAATGGGGGAGGCTGTGGCGGGCTCTCTTGGGCCAGGCGAGATCCGGGTGTAAAGCTTGAGGGCTGCCCACTGACTCAGTCTCTATGGGCTCGGCCTGGCCCCCAGCACCAGGATGCGGGGAGCCCCAGCCCCACGGAGAGTGGCCAGGGTCTGGCCTGAGCTTCCAGTGAGCCAGAAGCCCCAAGCAAGCGGGATTGGAAAGCTTTGGGGAGGCTGCCCGGCCTCTGCTGCCGTGAAAAGGTGCTGCAGGCGGCTAAGGGGAGACGAAGAGAAAAAGGCCAGCACTGGAGGCGAAGAGCAAAAGTGGGAAGCGGGGGGCCACCCCAAGAAGCCCCGCAGAGCCTGAGCACAGCCCTGCAGCTTTACCCTGGAAGAGGGGATAAGGCAGGAACATTACTGGGGCGGGGGGACAGCAGAAGGCCTGGTGTCCAGGGAAGAGCAGCTGCGGGCCACAGGGAGCTGCTGCTCGGAGGCGTCGGCCATGCAGCCCCTTCCTGGGGACCAAGGGGCCTGGTCAGCTAGACCGAGCGTGCTGGGCTATCAGGCCATGCACACGCAGAGCTCACCCTGGAGGTGAGGACAGGCTCACTAGTGCCGCACCAGGTCCCCTCAGAGGGCCCCAAAGCTCCCAGTGCAACAAGTGCCATGGGAGGGACACTTAGGGACCCACTGGCCCGGCTCTCTAAGGACTTTCTCAGCCAGCCCCAAAGGGAAGAGCCCTTGGCAAGCATGGAAAACCCAGGTCATGCTGAAAAGCAGTCATGGGCCCCAGCCTCAGGGCAGCTGCTGGCCAGGTTGCTGACAGCCCACAAAACCACTGAGCCCCCCACCCCCCACTTTCCCACCCAGACGGCGTAGCTTCCCATCCCGAACAGAACCCGCACACCATCATGCCCAGCCCTAGCCGACAGATGACCCCCAGAGGCCAGGTCCCCAGGCTCCTGCAGGCAAGAGGACAGGACAGCAATGCGGGAGGACAAGGCCTCTGGGCTTGAGCACAACCTGGTCCTCCTGCCAGTGACACGGCGACTCCAACACTGAGACCTACAGTCTCCGGTCCCAGCTCCCAGCCCTGCCTTAGGTGTGCAGCTGCCATTCCCGTGCCTGAAGAGGGTACCTGACGAGGGCCACCTGACTGCCTCAGACACCCATGTCTCTGCTGTCTGCACCATTCTTGGGCACCTCGCGATGGCTTCTTTTTTTGAGGCTGGACTCAAACTCATGGCGATCCTCCTGCCTCAGCCTCCCAAGGAGGGATTACAGGCATGGGCCACGCCTGGCTTTCCCAGCATCTCCTAGGAACTCGGGAGAAGCCCAGGCCTGTGTGAGAAAGGAGCTGCTGTGCTAAATGGATGTGGTCCCAGCACAGGTTCGGCCCTGGAGAGTGACGAGTGTAGGAGGAATGACCTGTCCCCTAGGCTAGGTGGGAAGGTCAGTGCCCCAGAGCACTGGATGAGGAGATGGGCAGGGAATAGCCCGGGCTCAGCTGAATGAGGCCACCCCTAGACCAGCTCTCCCCACACAGGCCACCTCTGTGTGCTCAGGGCTGCCTGGATGGTGCTCACAGGGACAGCCACAGTGAGCCACGTGGCCACTGCTTGAACTGGGTCCCAACAGCCTGTGTGGCTTCTTGGGTGGCCAGGGGCCCTCGGAGGGGCTGCCTCTGGGCGGGGGTGGGGTCGGCCCATGCACTGTGCTCGAGGGGCTTCACGGGAGAACTCATTAGCCCCACAGTGGGGTGGTGACAGAGATGGATTCTGGTGACAGCTGTGTGCTGGAGCCACGCAGTGCAGGGAGGGGAGGCAGGAAGGGTAGGGGAGCTGCCACAGGGCCCCACGACAACCCTGGCTACAGCTACACCCCAATGCGGACACAGGCCATGTGCCCTGAAGAGCCCTCTGTCCGCCAACAATGCCACCCCACTCTGCTCCCTCAAGGACTTACCCAAGGCCCTGGGTCGCTCAACTGCCACACTGTTGCCCACTGGCACAACCCAACCTCGGGAGTGGCACCCAGGCCACTGGATGGATCACACTCACCTCTAACCCACTGCCAGGGCTGCCCAAGGAGGGGCACCACGGGGGGAGGGGGAGAGCCCCAGAGACACTTGCTCTGGGGAGAACTGGTCGGAGACCACCCCAGGTGCTCACCGTCACCCACCTTGCCTCGCCCCGGCCCCAGCCCCAGACTCACGTGCAAGCTGGGGTGGTAGGTGAGCAGTCCATTGTCACACAGAGTCACGTACTTCTTCTTCCACTCCTTGTTCAGAGACTTGCCGCTCCGCTTCAGCAAGATCCCCTGGGAACAGAGAGCCCATCAGGGGCTGGCCCACAGGCCATGGGGCGGTCACAGTGTCACCGGGAATGCCATCCCCCATCCTGCCCCCTTCCAGAAGAGGCCTTAAAGGGCCCCTGCTGAACGAGAGAGAGGGCTGGGCAGACAAATGCCCTACAGAACCCTGCTGCTTCTGGCAGGTACCACACAGCGGCCACGACCTGGGCATCTCCTCTTCCTGCTGGCAGTCACAGGAGCAAGAGGCAGAGACCGGATGTGCCCAGCTGCTGCCACCACCCTGGCTCTAGGGTGGCAGAAGAGGTTTCTCCAGGGCCTGGCCTTCCACCTCTGTGGCACAGGTACCAAACTGTCCCAAGAATTCCCTAGACACCCAGGCTGCCATCTTGGTCCCAAAACTTCCAGCTAACTCATAACTGGGCCAATGGCCCGCAAGACCGTATGGCTGGGGCTGGGGAGATGGCTTAGTAGAATAAGCGCCTGCCTGGCAAGCGCAAGGCTCTGAGTTCAACCCCCAGTACCACCAAAAAAAAAAAAAAAAGACCATATGGCTGTGGGCTGGTGGAGGCGGATGAGCCCCAGGGAGACCCAACCAGCAGGCTCTGTAATGCCTGGAAGGAACCTGCTCTTCCAAGCACCCCCCAAAACATGTCTGTGCATCTCCTCGAGAGGACAGGACAGTAGCTGGGGACAGGAGCACGCTGGAGGGATACCAGGTGGCCAGTCCTCCAGGCGCCAACTCAAGAGGGCCGGGAAGAGGCAGCACTTCCAGGAGCCTTGGATATGGAAACCCCACAGGGAGGAAGGAAACAGGTCCACAGACCAGAGCCAAGTGAGCCTGGTCAGGAGGGACATCGATGGGACAGCTAAGAAGGGTAATGAGTGCACATGCAGGAACAGAGCCTGGAAGCCCTGCAGGGTTCTCCCCTAGGAATGCCATCAAGTGGGGAGGCAGAGATGTCAAGGAACAAGCAGGCAGCACTCCCTTCACCATAAGGCCCAGGGTGGGGACAAACACCCCCAACTGGACTGCGCTCTCCCTCTAAACTCTTCAGAATAAGGTTCTGCCCCTGGTGGGTGAAATCAGTGAAAAGCCAATTAAAGATTTCCGACAGGATGGGTGCTGTGGCGCACTACTCCTCAGCACTCAGGAGGCTGAGGCAGGAGGGTGGCCTTGAGTTGGAGGCCTGAGTGCATTATAGCCAAAGAACTTATCTCAAAACACAAAGACAAGGATTTCTGACAGCCACTCCCTAGGGAAGGAGGAACCTGCAACCCCAGGGCCCTGGCAGCTCTGCTTCCAGTGGACGCTTCCCATCAGGCCTTGCTAGCCATGGCCTTCCTACCCCTCTCCTCCTATTGCCACCCCAAGAGGCAAAAGCCACTGCTGGAGACAAGCCCGCTCCTGTCCCCATGGGCTTCTGCAGACAAGAGGGATGGGATACAACCAGGTCTGTGAAGCAGCTCACTGTCACTTGGAGCCTTGGTGACCTGCCTTCTGGGCATGGTGTCCCCATCAAAGGGCATCACCGAGAGCCAAACAAACAGGACAGCTATTCCTTCTCCCAGAAACAAGGCCCCTTGGGACATGCGGCCATCAGGCTCCGGAGACACCTAGGTTACCTTGCTGGCTACAAGATGCAGGCCAGGTGGAGAATGCCCAGATGCCAAGGGGAGATCATAGGCAGAGCACAGGGGGGGGGGGCCCTGGGCAGAGAAGTACCAGGCAGAGTTTTCCAAAGTCCAGCCCCAGCCCCAGCTTTGACTCCAGGCTCTGAATCTTTCTTTTTTTTTCTTGAGGGGGGAGTTGGGGGAGGAAGAGATATTGCTGTGGAGTTTGGCTGGCATTTTGAAATTATCAGGTAGCCAGGCATGTAATCCCAGCACTTGGGAGGCTATGGCAGGTTATTGCAAGTTTGAGACCAGCCTGAGCTACAAAGTAAGGGCCAGCGGGGGCCTGGCCCTAGCTCAGTCCTTTAAGTGGCTGCTTCCACAAAGCTGTCAGCCTCAGGTTGCTGGAGTTCGAACCTCACAACTCTCCCGCTGGCCAAAAGTGCCCTGAAGGCATTCGAGAAAACAAAAAAAAAACAAAAAACAAAAAACATTATTCCAAAGTAAGGGCCAGCCTATGCTGGAGAGAGAGACAGAGACAGAGACAGAGACAGAGACAGAGAGGCAGGAGAGGAGAGGTGAGAGAAAAAAAGGAAGAAGGAAAGGGGGAGGGGAGGGGAGGGGAGAGGAGGGGAGAGGAGAGGAGAATGAATTAGGCAGCTCAGCCCCCCCCCCCCCAGGGCTGGGACTGCAGGCCTGTGCCAACACGCTGGCTCTGATGCCCTTTCTGCCACTAGTTGGCGCAAAACATGCAACAAACCAGCCTAGCTCCAAGGAACGGGGCGGGGACTCAGGGACTCCAGGACCTTCCCTGTGCAGACCCAGCAGGCAGGCCCACCTCCTCCTCTGCTGGAGAGGGGCTCAGGGATGCCGGGGAGGACGGGCGCCCTTTCCACCCGAACTCGCCCCTTTCTCCACCTGGCACCCTCTTGGCGGAAGCCGGAGAAGCGAGCACCGACACTGATAATGAAACTCGTTAGCCTAGGGTGTGGGCGAGGGAAGAGACAAGCGGGCAGCTGCACCAGCCAGCGCCCACGCCGCTGGCCACCGCTCACCTGCCCCGCTGCCCGCACCCCTCCAGCCTCGCCTTCCAGAGGTGGAGAAGCCGAGGTGGAGAAGCCGCGGGGTTCCACTCCCTCCCTGGCCGGACGGCTGCGCACGGCAGAGCAGGAAGCAATCTGGGGCGGAATGGGAGCGGTGCGGAGGCGACAGCCCCCAGAGGACCCGTTCCCGCCGCCGCCTCCTCCCAGCTCCGCCAGCCGACTTAATTGCGGAGTCCGGATTGATTGGGAATGCAAATGGCAACTGAAATGCAATCTCCACTCCCAGCAGGAGCTGGGGGGAGGGGAAGGAGCGAAATGGGGAGGGCGGAACGGCCTGGCGGATCCCGCGGTTGGGACAGCCCCCAACCAGGGCAAGGAGGTGGGGGAGAAGCCCCAGGATTGGGCTGGGAGGGGAGGTGGCCGGCTTGGCCCCTAAACACAGGGCAGATCAATTTGGATCCGGCTGGAGCTACATATCCCAAAGGAAGCAGCAACACCGTTGGGGGTGGGAGGATACAGGGGAGTGAAACTAAAAGGCGCCCGGTGGGAAGGACCTGCTGGGTTATCCTGAGATTCACCCAAGAGACCCAGCTGACTCCTGGCCCCTAGGGTAGAACCCAGGGAGCAAGTTCACAGGGGGGCTCAAGGAACAAACCGGCCAGCCCCTAAGAACCCCAGACAGGAAGGCACAGGCAGGCAGGAGGCTTACTTTTTGAGGGAGCACATGCTGCCCCTCACGTGCCCCCCAGCTCTCCACCTCCCAGCAGAGGTCACCAGCTTGACTACAGGATGTGGAAAGAGGCTCTGCTGTATGTGGGATCGAACACTGGGCATGCACAGGACAGGGACAGGACGAGGGAGGGGCACAGCAGTGTCCTTGCCAGACCCTTCAAGGGAGAATGAGGTAGAAAAAAGCCAGGGCTTGGATCAAAGCCCGGTTCCCTGATCGGCTCTCGGGGACCCTGACTTTCCCCTGACACACTTGAGCTCTGGTGCTCTGGCCGCCCCAGGGTCCTGGAGACACGACCTCTCCAACTACCAAGCCAGCTCCAGGAAACAGACTGTCACCCTGATTGACCACGACCTCCCAGGCACCTTACCACCCTTCACACTATCCTGTCCACACCAGCAGCCCAGGATTCCTTGCTGCGCATCCCCACCTCTGAATAAAGATGCCTCCACCGGTAGGGGGTCTTCCCCACTACAGACTCGCAACATGAGCTCTAGGAGAACGAGACCAGCAGAGTGAGCGGGGCGTGGCATCTCAACTAACAGATGAAAAAGCTAACAGAGCCAGGCACGGTGGCATACTTGGGAGGCTAAGGCAAAAGGGTCACCAAAAGTTGGAGGCCAGCCTGGGCTACACAGTGAGACCCTTTCTCAAAATAAGACAAAAAACTAACCTGAGGCACCTGTTGATACAACTACAACCTCACCACAGGTGACAGCAGACTTCAGTATTCTCATCTCAGCAGGCTCCGCAGGTGCTCTGACCACAGCTTCTCCCTAGTTCTGGGCCCATGCTGAACTCCAGAGCCAGCAGGTCCCAGAGCTACAGACTGAGAACAGCAGGTGGCTCTCTGCTGCCCTCCAGTGGTACCAAGGAGGGACAAGCAGGCGGCACTGTGGTGTCACACAGCACAAGCTCCTGACCAGAAGGAGCTCTGATCCCTGGGATGCAGGCAATGGAGGGGAGCCCTCCTTGGCTGCACTGCAAGTTCGTGGCTGGCTTGAACACAGTGGGACACTGTCTCAAACAAATGAATCCCCCCAAAAAGATCCCCACCCCAGCATTCCCTGGGCCCAAGAGGAGGCGGTGTGCACCTGCTTGATTGGGATGGCCCGACCGCTCCCGATGCTGTCCACCTTGCCCTCGGCAGCCTTCTTGTCCCGGTCCAGGTCAGCCCCCTTGCGAGACTGGAAAAGAACAGAAGTGGCACATTAGAGGTGCAGGGCCACCGCAGGAAGCTGCCCTCTTGCAGGCCCTGGCCCTCCCGCCTTCCTCCCTTCCTGGGCAGCCCTAGCAATGGGTGAGGTTGGGCCGGCCGGGGCGGCGGGATGGGAAGGAATGGAGACCACGAGTATTCCAACGGGTTTATTCTTACACACGGTACCATACAGAGCAGCACAGGTCACTGAGCCGGCCCGCCCCTCACAAGAGAGCAAGGACATGAAATACTGAGGAGGAGGAAGAGGAAGAGGAGGGGGAGGAGGGGGAGGAGGGGGAGGAGAAGGAAGGGGGCACGTGAGTGAGGACCACACAGCCCAGGGGTCCAGGGTGCAAGAGATGGGAAGGGGCAGGAGAGGTGGCCGTGGGGCTGAGGGCCAGCCGGGAGCACAGGGTGGCCACCGGGACAGCAAAGTCCGGAAGTGAGCGGGCAGGTGGCCCGCCTGTGGCACAGACACCACACGGCACGTGGCGGCACGGGCCCTCGTGGGGCACAGTAGATGGAGAGAGAGAGGAGAGAGGCCGAAAGAGGCCCTGCGCCCTGCCAAGCTCCTGGGGCACAGTCCACCCAAACGCGGGTCCTAGGAAACAGGGGAGGCCGAAAAGAAGGGGCAAGGCAAGCGCGGCGGTGGCGGCGGCTTCCGGAGCAGGAGCAGGAACGCAGAAGTCCATGCAGGAAGGAGCAGAGGAGGGGAGGGGCAGGAAAGCGCCCCCCAGAGCAGCTGGGCCCACGGCGGGTGGCGGGCGGGCGGGCGGGCGGCCGCCCCTCTGGGCCTTGTAGCGCTGGCCGGCCAGGCCGGCATGGGGCCGAGCTCCCTTCTTCTCCATGCAGCGAGCCTGGAGCCTGGCGCAGCGTCCGGCCGGCCGGGCCTTGTCCCGGTCCCTGGCAGCCCCTGGCTCGGGCAGGCGGGCTCCGTTCCTAGCCTTCCCTGGGGGTGGGGTTAGTTACAAAGGTTCTTGTGGGTCTCTGGAGCGGGGAGCTCGGTGGCCCGCTTCTCATCTGAGAGCAGTCCCAGGGCCCGGCCCGCCTTGGCCCCACACAGGGGAATGTCCAGAGGTGCTGTGTGTCACCACCTGGTCTTCTAATTTGGAAGGAGTTGGAAAGGCCTTTTTGTTGATGAAAAGTTGGAAACAGTGGCACATATCTGCAAATATCGAAAGAATAAAGATTTTGGCAAGTTATACTCAAGCCCCGCACAAGTTGGTCAGCACGGTGAGGGCGGAGACCCAGGCACCTGGGGAGAGGCAGCAGTGGGATGAAGAGGAGGAGGAGGTGGAGGAGAGGAGGAGGAGGAGGAGGAGGAGGAGGAGGAGGAGGAGGCGGCGGCGGCAGCTGCACCCGCTGGTCACATGGGGCCCACACCCCATCTCAGAGGGGAATGCTCACTACACAGCGGTCTGGGGCCCAGCGGCACAGGCAGGGCACCAAGGACTGCAACTGCAGCGTGTGAGGAGGCACAACCAGAGGGGAAACCTGGCAACGTGCCACTGAGTGGAACTGGCCATCCAGCAGCCCCACATCAGCAAGTCCCAGCCCTCTGCCCCTCTGGCCCAGGGAGGAGGATGGGGGGTGGGCCACAGCCAGCGGAGTCCCAGGCAGAACCGCTGCTTGCAGGTGTGGGGTACAACCTGGAGGCCACTAGTGCCAGAGGAGCCCTGTGAGTCCAGAGGGCACCTCCCCCAGGGTGACAGGAACGGAATAACAGTGGCAACAAATGAATGCATGGGATTATGGGGGTCACCAGCCACAGCCAGGCAGGACACGGGGGAGGGCACCCCCCAAGCAGGTTTAACTCCATCAGGAAGGAAAATGACAAGAGAGGTGGCTCCCACAGCAATGATGGGGGAGTCCCCAAGATGTACCCACAGAGATGGATGAGCCTCCAGGCCGCCTTGGGGAGGATGGTGCAAGTGAAGTCACCATGGAGACGATGGAAAGAAAAATAAGGTCGCCACTGTGAAGATGGAGAGGAGGGAAGGGCCAGGGGTCGGGGGAGGCCGTGCCGTGAGCTTGCCGTAGCGAGGGACGGGGGCAGCACAGTCGAGGCAGGCAGGCAGCAGAGACATGGGAGTGGAGGAGCTGTGGCAAGCACAGGCCATGGAGCCAGCCAGGTATGGCGGTGGAGGAGGGAGGCAGAGGCTGCCCTGCATGGGGGCTGAACCAGCCAGCGGGAGGTTAAGAATGGAACCAAAGCAGCAGATGACTGAGGCACAGTGTTGGGAAGCAGAGTGCCTGGGCCACTGGTGGCAGCCACTGTGACACAGGCAAGTGTGGACACAAGCAGGTGGCCACCACCTCCATGGAGAGAACAGAACAGAAACGAGAAGCTGTGGGGCCGGCTTAGCGCAGCGGCAGCAATCAGCTCAGTGGGCACAGACGGCGATGGACGTGGGAGGGTGGGCAGGAGTGGACAGAGGCAGGGAGAGGTATGCAGGGCGGGGCAGAGGCAAAGATGGAGGAGTGAGGCCAGGTAGTGGCTCTGCTGGGGGAAGGCCAAGCCCTGGCTCTCACAGAGGCGCATGGAATGACGCGGAGGGCTGGGCCACTTCCCACCTGTCCAGCCAAGGCTCCCAGAAAGGGCCAGCCAGGACCTGGCAGGAGGACCAGAGCGTGGGGGACATTGTGTAAGAACTGGGGCGGAGAGATGGCAGGCGCAGGGGCCTAAGAGCGGAGGGGCAAGAGCTCACAAGGAGACAGGACAAACCTGAGCGGGAGGTACGAGGCAGCGTGGTGAAGCCCAGGAAAAGATGGCTAAGCCTTTGTTAAACCAATCACAGCGGTGGGTGGGAAGCATGAGAGTTCCCCTCGGCAGTGGGGTAACGGAAAAAGAGCCGGAAGGTGGATGGGGAGGCCTGGGTCTGACTCTAGCTCGGCCAGCTAACCCTCTGTGTCGCCTTGGGCAAACAGCCTTCCGGCCTCCGGTTCATTAGCTGTTGAATCAAAGGGGGTCAGGGCAGTTAGGCCACGTGTCCCAAGATCCATGCCAGCTGACACAGAAACCTTGGGGGCTGGGGAGGAGGCTGGGGGGGAGCATGTGCACAGGGGGTTGGGGGCGGGGCTGTGGGCAGGCAGCCAAGGGAAGAAGCCCCTGGTGGGCTCACAGGATGGGTCTGCAAGATTCAGGGGACCCCGGCCAGGAGCCTCTGGAAGCCACGTGTGTCTGTGTTTGAGAGAGAGGAAGGCTGCAGTGGCACCATCCTGACCTAGGGCTGCCCCTGCACTCCTGGGTGGGTGCTCGGCGCTCACCCTGCCCGCTGCAAGGCAGTGGGGCGGGGTGGGGGGCAGGGCACGTACCGTGAAGATGTTGGAGCGCCGCTTGGACTGCTTGCGGATGGGTGTGGGGGTGGAGGCAGCCGCGATGGTCTCGATGCGCAGCTCCCGCTGGCTGATACTGGGGGTGGAGGGAACCGAGGAGGAGTAGTCGCTGAAGGCGCTGCTGCCCCCATTCGTGGCCTAGAGACAGAGAGGGCAGCTGAGGGCAGCGCAGGTGCCTGGCCTGTGGCTGACAAACCCTGTCACCACTGCACACCAGGGCTGTCCTCCAGAGACACTGTAGCCTAAGGCTTAGCCTCCTGTGCCAGGCAGGGAGCCACCAGAGGTGAGGGCCACCAGGCTGAAATCAGGACAAAGTCTGGCAAGGTGCAAGCTGTGGGTGCTGGCTGGATCCCCAAAACCAGGGATCCATGTAGGATATAGGACACTGCCGAGTGGGAGCTGGGAGACTGGAGCTGGGCACAAGGTACGGGGAATCTGAGGCAGGTGTGTGGCAGGGGGAAATGCTTTGAATGCCGAGGCAGAGAGCAGAAAGGAGCTCCCGCCAATGAGTGTGCTAGGAGTGAGGCACAGAGACAAAGCAGACAGGGAGACGAGGCTCACGGAATGGAGATGGGATGCGAAAACGTAGGCTCCAGGACTCGGGAGACAGCAGAGGACACCAGACACCCACACCCCACCTATCTGAGTGTGCACCCCTTTTGAACCCAAAGGAGCACAGGGTGTGGCCTCAGCCAATCCACAGCCTCCCTGGGGTTCCCCCAAGAGCTACCCTCCCTGCAAGAACCCCTGACCATGTCAGTGGGTAGATGACACAGCTGCTCCGCTAGCTAAGCAAGAGCTGGCCCCCCTCTTCCTCCTCCTCCTCCCCCTTCCCCTCCTCCCCCTCCTCCTCCTCTTCTCTCTCCCCATAAGCTGCACCGCTCACAAGCCCATAAAGAAGGGGTAACTGGGGCTGGTGAGATGGCTCAGTGGTCTAAAGCACCTACTTAGAACAAGCTTAGCAAAGCACAGGGACCGCGGTTCAATCCCCCAGCACCACATGCCAGCCAGCCCCGCCCCCTGGTGGGCTGAGCTGGCCACACACACACACAAATAAATAAAAATTAAAAAAAAAAAAAAGGAGGGGTAACTGAAGCATACTGAGGATGTTACTGGGCAGCACAGTGGCAGCTGGCCTGGTCACTCTATGGAGCCCACCTGCGGATGGCCCAGGGCCTGCTATAGAGCATAGCACAGTGGTGCATGAAGCCACGGAACCAAGTCCTGGCCCAGGTGCCAAGGGCTAAAAGCTGACCTGGAAACAGACCTGGGTGTAGACAGGTATCCACACGGTATCAGGAGGGGGGCAGGGGCAGGACCTGGCTTCAAAGCCCCCACAACTCCTCGTGACACCATTAGCCATTCACCGCCTCCAGGGACAAGTGCTGCCTTTCTCCAAGGCCATATGCTCTGAGGGCCGGGCTGGCCAAGGACCAGCATTGGGCAGGCCCAAAGGAACCTTCTCTCCTTCCTATGTTCACTGAGTACATCCAGCTGCCACAGGAAGCAGCCCAAGGGGCGGCTGTCACGGTGCTTGCCAGAGCAGCTGTTTGAACATCCTTAGTGAGCGACTGGGAGAGAGTACTGGGGGGAGTAGAAACTGGCAAGGAGGGACTGTCACCATGGGGCATAGCCAAGCCAGAGCCAGTGGGAGCCAGAGCTGCATGCAAGGCTCATGATGCAGGACAGACAACGGACAGAACCGGGGAGCGGTGGCCGGACCTGGTTGATGTGCACGGCCGGGATGGAGGCGGTGGACACGGCTGAGTGGCTGGGTGAGTTGGGCAGAGACTTGCAGGGCCCAATGGCCAGCTGCTGTTTCTTCCGCAAGGCCACCACTTTCTGGGCCACTGCAGAGGACAACAGAGTCAATTACACCCACTGGGGAGAAGAAGAGAATGCCCAGTGCAACGCTACCTCTAACAACACACAACTGCTGCCCCAGGAGCCCTCCTACGCCCTGCACCAGGGCCCAAGTTACCGTCCTGGAAGACTCGCTCCACGTTGAGCCCGTAGGTCGCGCACGTCTCGTAGTAGGTGCAACGTTTCAGGTCCGTGGACAGTTTGCGGGCCCTGCTGTCATCAATAACCCGGGGGTTGGCAGCACTGATAGCATCTGTTAGAGAAGTGGAAGGTCCCTCAGCTGGCTGGGAGGGGCTGGGGGACAGATATGTCTTGCAAGATCGATGGGACTACAGAATACCAATAACCAAAGTGTCTAGGCGTTGGAGCCAGTGACTTAATTTCTGAGTCATTTTACTCCTCTCCAAAATTTTGGACACAGGGGCCGGGGAGATGGCTCAGTAGAATAAGCACTTCCCTGGCAAGTGCAAGGGCCTGAGTTCAATCCCCGGTTCCACAAAAAAAAAAAAAAAAGAAAAAAAAAAAAAAAAAAAAAATTGGACACAAAGCTGGGTGTGGTAGCACTCATCTTTAATCCCAGCACTCAGGAGATTAAGGCAAGAGGAGAGGGTTCTAAGGCAGCCTGGGCTACATAGTGAGTTCAAGGCCAGCCTGAATTACATAATGAGACCCTGTTTCAAAACATAAAACAAAGGGGGCCGGGGAAACGGCTTAGTGGAATAAGTGCTTCCCTGGCAAGCACAAGGGCCTGACTTCAATCCCTGGTTCCACCAAAAAAAAAAATAAAAAATAAAACAAACAAGAGAAAAACTGGACAAGAATCTGGGGTACACGGACTGCCAGACTAAAGCAGAGAAAAGTTACTGTAGGCAGCCCTGGGTTACAGTCACACACAGGAGGGGCTGAGAGCCCATCACTGCTGGCACATTAGCGCGGATGGAGGTTCCCTGCTGCCCCCACTGCCCACCGGCTCACCCTGTGTGCCCACCAGCACCATGGGCACCTCGCTGGCGTTGCGGAAACTGCAGAGCCGCAGGAAGTAGTTGTATACCGTCTGGAAGCTGATCTCATCCTCCAGGCTGAACACAAACACCACGGCATCTACCCACGCTGCAAACTAGAGGAGAGCAGGCAGTTAGCACTCTCTCTGGGCCTGGACATCCCAGTGCCAGGCAGGTGGGAGGATGGCAGATCCTGGCAGCCTTGCTCCCCAGACAGACAACCTGCTCCAGTCCCAACTGGAAACCTCCAGAGAGGGGCACAAGGGCAGCCTGGCCAGAGCAGGAGCATCACCTGGAGCTCTGGGGGGCCTCCTTCGTCTCGAATCAGCAGCAGGTAACTCTGGCCGTCTACAACAATCTCCTTCTTAAACCGACCACCTAGGACAAAGCACAGGGTCAGGAGCGAACTTGGACAGGGGCCCCGGAGCTAGGCAGAACAAAAGCCACACGGAAGAGACAAAAGGACCAGGGAGAAAAAGGAGACCCAGGTGCCACCTTAGACACTGCAGCAGGGAAGGGGCCCAAGGCGCACTCACCTTCTGGAGACTCCTCTTGGACGTAAGTTCCCGTGAGATAGCGGTGCACCAGAGCTGACTTCCCACTGGACAGGTTCCCCACTATGCCCTGTAGGAGGACAGGAAGGAGCAAAGCTCAGGGGCACAGAGGAAAAGAAAGTCCAGGTTGCAGGGAGAGGAAAGGGCATAGGCACCCCCCCCCCCCGCATCATGGTGCATGCCTGTATAATCCTAGAATTTAGGGGGCTAAAGTGGGGGATCACCACCAAATTTAAGGCCAACCCAGCATGGTGAGACTCTGCCTCAAAACACAAAGGCAGTGCGCAGTAGACAGGAGGAGAAGGGGGCTGGAAGAAGCCAGGGGCTAAGGAGAGAGCCAAGCCCAAAGGGGAAGGCTCCCGTGGAGCCTTGCCCACCCAGCTGAGGGTGCCCCAGTCTCGCTGGGGCCACTCACCACTTTAAGCTCTGGCACCGAGCGGCTTAGGGTCCACTCCTGGCTGTTCACAAATGAGTCTGTGAAGACAGAGTCATCCTGTCAGGGTGCCAGGGGCACACATACCTGGCCTCACCACTCCTGCCACCAGTGTCCCCTATAAGCCAAGGCCAGAGGGCAGCACCATAGTCTGCAGAACGCCAAATTTCAGCCCACATTCCCTAAGGAACAACAGAAGAGTATGGGGGGGGGGGCGCAGTGAGGGCAATCTGCAGAACAGAAGCGTGGGCTGGGGCCAGTCCTCTCTGGCCTCTGCCTATTCCTCCTGTCCTTTATGCTGCAGCAGGCAGGTAAGCAATGGCCCCCACAGCCATGAGCTGGGTGCCTCTCACCAAGGCTAAAGGCCTCTCTATCATGTCTCAGACAGACCAGAAAGGGACAGGCCCCTGGCAGGGGGGCGGGCCAGCCTCTGGCAAGTAGGGACAGCTCCTGGGGCAGGGTGGGGCTACCCACCACATTCCTGAGCCTGGCAAAAGGGGTGGAGCCTCACCTGGCCCTGCTTCTCAGGAGTGCATCCCCATGGCTCCTCCCCCAGCTCCGCCTCAGCTCCAGCCTCCCTCCTTTTTCTACCCTCCAAGAACCACAGGGCCCTTCCTCGGGAAAGCTTCCAGCTCTGGAGCCTCAGGTGACAGCCAGACCTGTCCCCTTCTCCCTCTATGTTCCTCTTCTAACAGCCAGCCAAGACGAGGTGGCCAAGCCTGGGCTGGTCCTGATCTGGCACGGGCACTACCCCCGCAAGGGCACTGGTACACTGTGATCATCAGCACCCAGCCCACCACAGTCCCCAGCCCCAGCTACAGAGGTCCATTTCAGCCCAGGCTAAGAAACTGTGCGGCCAGCCTAGAGCCACCGGGTGTGTGTGGGGAGGGGGTCTTTCCCTCCTTCCCTGACTGCAATTCTGTATCCCACAATGAAAGGGGAGGAACCCAGACCCTTCCTCATCTCCTACTCCAAGGCAGTGCCATCACCTGCTGAAGCCAGAGTCCTCCTTGACTGTTGGCACCTCCTATTGGCACTGCAGTGCACCCAGGCAACGATGGGTACTGAAGGTACTTGGGCAAGCCCCAGCCACCTGGGCACCCGACACCTCTACCAGATTGGCTCCCTGGATTCCCACCGAGCCCCGTCTCCTGCCAACGTTCACCCTCAAGCCCACCCAGATCGCTGCAGCCCCTTACCGCTCCGCGCGCCCCGCAGCCCCTGGTCGCGGATGCCCCATGGGGACGCGGGCTCCCTCCGGCGGAAGCGGCTGGTGAGCAGCCTCCAGAGGCTGGCGGCGGCGCGGGGGCGACCGGGCTCGGGCGTGGCGCGCGGGGCCTCGGCACCCAGCAGGTCGCGGCGGCTAGAGAAGGCGCCCAGGGAGCTGGTATCGCCATCGCTGCGGGTGCGTGCGCGGGGTGGCCGGGCCAGCAGCCCCGACTCCGAGCGCCGGATTTCCTGGCTGCGGCGCAGGCGGAAGCTGAAGCTCTTTCTGAGCGCAGACAGGCCGCGCCGGGGGCTGTCAGCGCCGCGCGCCCCGCGGAACACCTGCCACCGCTGGCTGCTCCAGAGCGACGCACCGCGCAGAAAGCCCGAGCTGCCCGCGCGTCCGAGCCCCACGCCCGTCCCCGTGCCCGCGCTGGGGGATGCTTCAGCGGCTGCCAGCTCCAGACGGTTCACCTCCAGGAACGTCATGCTGGTGGGCCGGGGACGCGGCGCTGGCTCTCCAGGGGAGCGGATGCGCCGAGCCAGCACGGGGCTAGGCGCGGAGGAGCCAGGCTGCCCCGAGGACGCGGAGCTCCGCCGCCCAAGGCGAGGGCGCAGGAGGCCGAGCAGCAGGCCACGGGCCCCAGGGGGCGCAGGCCCCGGGCCGGGCGAGCACACGCTCCGTGGCCGGGCTGGCTGGTCACGCGCGGCGCACAGGGCGGCCTGCAGGGTGGCGGCGGGACAACTGGCCAGGGCACTGTGCAGTTCCAGAGCTTCGCTGACGCTCTGGGCGCGGAGGCAGGCTGCGGGCCGCTCCCCTCTGCAGCTGTCCCCCGGCGGCGGCCAGCCCCGCTCCATGCTCAGGGCCCGTGGACTAGAAGGGCCAGGCCCATGGCGAGGGGCGCGGGGCTGGGCCCGGGCCGGGGGCCGCAGCCGGGCGCACGAACCTCCGGCCTCTGGGCGCCTGGTGTGAGCCAAACCAGTCCCTGACTCCTCCACCCCAAAGCAGCCGGCAAGCCCAGACCTGGAGGGGCCAGGAGTCGGCCCAGCCCAAGAGAGAGGCAGCAAGTCTGGCCTGGAACACCAAGGATCGGTGGCTCAGGGGGCCGGCCTGCTTGGGCAGCCTGGGAGCCCTCAAAAAACAGGAAATTCCAGCCCAGGGCTCCTCCTAAGACTGGGCAGGTAGGCGAGGAGCTATCATTAAAAGCAGGCCAAATAAATAACAGTTCTGGAGCACACCACACAGTGGGCCCCATTTTGGTCCTTCTCTGAAGTAAGAGCAATCCAGAAGGACCACAGATGCCAAGGCCAGATGTATTAGGACTCAGGAGGCCATGGCTGGACATCCGTGAAGTGGGGAGTTTGACAGAGGTGATCCTCTCTCAGGATTTGGCCCAAATACTCTGAGGCTGAGAGTTACTGGATGCTAGGACGGCTGCTAATGACCAAGGGTGTGGTGTCTCTTTGTTGGTCAGAAGATCGAGAAGATACTCATCTGCTTGGTTTGGGTTAAGTGCCCTTCTCCAACAGATAGAAAAACCCACAGGTAACCTCCAGGTCTGGACCACAGCTCTGGGCAGGTAACACTGCTGAGGTCTTTGGTGGCTGCCCCAGTGCTTGCTGGGCCTCCCCTTCTGTCAAGCTGATGGCAGTGCCCGCAGGGGCCTGACGCTGCCCGAGGAAACACTCCACACTCCAGTGCCTTCTGAGTTCATGGGACTGGGCTACATCAGACACCATGAAATCCAGGCTCCCCCAGAACAGGTCAGGAGCTATACAGTGAACTGAGCTGGCACTGTCCACGTCCCTCTCACGGGCCCCAGAAGGTTGGCTTTCAGAATCCAGAGTGCAGGAATGAGCAGTCTTCCACAGAAATGGATCAGGAGAAACCAGTTTAGGGGGCAGCAAGGGATGAGGGTCTTGGGTCTTAGAAAGAGACCTTGCTCCCAGGGTTTCCTCCACCCCAGTCCAAATCAACTCCCAGAGTCCTTTGCAGCTTCAGCATTCCAGGTCCCCTCAGAGGCAGCAGGAGATAAACTACATTCCTCAGGGGGCTGGAGTGGGGGGTGCCTGGGAAAGCAGGAACGCCCCAACCTAGGTGCTCACAGACTTCTAAAGGGCTGGAAACTCCCAAGTCCCGGGCTGGATCTCCAGACATCTTGCATTTTCACGGAACTAGTTATTACCAATGTCCAGGCAGACAGCTTCCTCCTGACCAGGATGCACGCTCCCCAGTAATAGATACCTCCATAGAAGTCTTTCCCAGGGCCCTGAGGCAGCCCAGAGAGAACAGCCCAACCCTGAACTCAACTCACATTTCCCAAGTATAGGACAGCCAGCCTTTCTGAGCTACAGAAAGAAAACTGCTCTGACTCTGCTATTTGTCTGTCTGGTTATTCCTCAAAAGAATAAAGCTGCCCAACCAGGCATGGTGGAGCACGCCTATAATCCCAGCACCCTGGGAGGTTGCAGCAAGAGAATCGCAAGTTTAAACCCAGCCCAGGCAGCTTAGTGAGACCTTGTCTCTCAAAGAAAAGAGCAGGAGGAGCTGGGTGCGGTGGTGCACACCTGAAATCCCAGCACTTGGGAGGCTGAGGCAGAGCAGCAGAATTGGAGTGAGTTTCACACCAGCCTGGGATACAAAGTGAGTTCAAGGCAGCCTGAACTGCACAGTGAGACCCTGTCTCAAAAAGACAGAAAAAATATTTTTTTTTAAAAGACCAGGAGGCAGGGGGCCTGCCCAGTAGCTCAGGTGTTTAAGTGCCTGCGGAAACAAAGCCCTCAAGCTCAAGCTTCTGTGGTTTGAACCCAGATAGACACAGCAAACCAGAAATGCCCTAAAGGCATTTCGGGCCTCCAAAAAAAAAAAAAAAAAACCTTCTAAAAGACCAGGAGGCATAGCTCAGTGCAAAGGCCCCAGGTTCAATCCCTAGCACTGACACACAGAGCCCCAGTTCTACAATGCTATTCGCAAAACCCTGCATACACATGTACAGGTGTACACACACACACTTACACACACACACAACCAGGACAGGCATCAATGCTCAGTCCCCCAAAGCCAGTGTCACTTAATCTCAGAGGACCCTGTGCCTACAGAATCTGTCTGGGTGGAAAGCTCAGGGCAGGTCGGTTGCTAGGCTGTACTGTTCTCTTCCTCACCTATCCTCCTGCTCCAGTTCCTTTTCCCCTAGAAAATGTTCCAGACCAGAGAATCTACAGAGAAAGGGGCACAGCACCTGCTTACTACCTGTCTTGGGACATCAGGTCAGCTAAGGGTTCCGAAAGACAAAGGAAGTGGCAAGCACACACCTGTTTTGTGTGGGGTGAGCCCCAGGCCAGAGACAAGGTTTCTCCCCTGTATCTGATGAGATCCTGCTGCAGAATTCCACCGGGCCCTACCCCCTTGGCCGGGGGCACAGAAGGCTGGAGGCTGGGAATCCCTACAGCAGACAGGGGCTACAGACCCAAACAACTAGGCTAGCTCAGGCTGTTGGAAGCACCACCAAGTACACTACACTTCTTCCTACTGCCTGGATGCCTCTGTGGAGGTTTGTTTCCAAGGAATTCAAGATTAACACTCTCACAGGTGCCTGGGTGCAGGTTCTGGGGCAGCAAGAAGCCCACCTCTGCTGGACAGGCAGTGCAGAAGCTGGGCAGCAAGGCCAGGGAGATGGCTCAGTAGAATAAGCGCTTGCCTGGCAAGTGCAAGGACCTGAGTTCAATCCCTGGTAAAAGAGGCTGGGCAGCAGGAGCCCCTCCTTCCCTGAGTCCCAGCGGGTTGTGAGAGGGCTGGCTCCAGATGTGCCCAACAGCTGGCTGAGTCACACACAGGCACATCTAGAGCCTTAGGGGGCCTAGGGGTCACTATGCACAAAGAGAAGGCCCCTGGGTGGGTGGATAGGGACAGGGACATGAAAGACTGTGTCCTATGGTGACAAAGCAGGAAGGGCAGCTCTGCCCCAGGAAGCCCACAGGGCCTGGTACCAGGTACCCGCCCAGTATTTGCTGGCTGATGCCCTGATAAATTCTGGGCTGTGCCTGCTGTGGCCACACAGCGCACAGGAAGCTGGCAGTGGGCTGAGAAAGGACCAGCTTTCTTGGGAGGCCAGCGCTAGAGAATGACTGCAGAGAAAGGTCACAGGTTGCTTCAGTGGTCTGTGGTCCCAGAGCCAAGCTGGCCTCCAAGATGCATCAGACTCTTCTTGCCCACAAGGTGGCAGCAAAACATCTTCCCGCAGTCCCAGAAGCTGGGGGGGGGGGCGGGGGTGGGGACGAGCACTAGCAGGGCCTCCTTAACTCGCAGGGGCCACCCAGTGTGTCACAGGGCCCAGGATAGTGAGAGGCATCCCAAGCCCCCCCAAGGCTGAAGCGGCCTGCAGGCTCTGTCCCTGGACAGGCAGGCGGCCCGGGAAAACAGCCCAGGAGAGGACATGGTCCTCCTCACCAGCTGAGGGGAACACTCCACCTCTAAATTCTCAACCCACGTCCACCCTCCTGGTGGCCAGCAGCTGCTCCCCGACTACACAAGCCCCATCCTACAGGGTCCTCCCTGTGCTCTCCCTTGCCCTGCCCTCATGCTGGCCGCCATAACTCCAGAAGCAGAAGTGCCATTTAAAACCATGACCCCCGGGCTGGAGAGATGGCTCAGTGGTCTAAAGCACCTACTCGGAACAAGCTTGGCAAAGCACAGGGACCGCGGTTCAATCCCCCAGCACCACATGCCAGCGAGCCGCGCCCCCTGGTGGGCTGAGCTGGCCACACACACACAATGAATAAATAAATAAATAAAATTAAAAAAATAAATAAATAAAACCATGACCCCAGCCAGGTGTGGTGGTGTACACCTACGATTCCAGCACTGAGGAGGCTGAGGCAGGGAGACCGCTTTTTTTTTTTTTTTAAATATACTTGGTTGTTACAGGGTCTCACTAGCTGTGAGTTTAAGGCCAAAGTGGAATGTGCAGGAGACTCAGTGTCAAAAAATTAATTCATAAAAAAAATTAAGGGTACTGCAGCACAGGGCACGATTCCTCACCAACTTGGCAGGAAAGAGGGGGAGACGTGACAGCAGCCCTCACAGCCCAGGCTGGGCGCTAACCCTCCACCCTCCTGCCTCCGCCTTCCGAGTGCTGGCCTTCCAGGTGTGTGAATGGGCTTTTTAAATGCATTTCTGGTTGGTGGGGGGCGACCTGTATCCCACACAGGTACGGATTCTCTCTTGTGAATGTGATCATTATGTAGATCTGAAATGTACCAATCAGCTTTGGAGAAAAAATGCCTTCGCTAGCAGCAGTTCCAGCACTTTTACTCACTTCTACCATTTTGTTTTTGTTTTTTCTTTTTTTTTTTTAATTTGTGTGTGTGTGTCCAACTCAGCCCACGGGGGGG